GGGGTAGTGATTGGGAGTCAGCAAGGTATAGTGGTGAGTGAAGATGTCAAGGGAGAGAGCTTGCTTGAGAAAAGGGGAGGGTGTCTCCCCAGACTGGGTCATAAACCCCTGAAGGAGGGTCACTTCCTATTGGCAACACAGGGGATGTTTCTCTCATTTCTCCCTCTGTTCTGCTCACCATCTTAATTATGTCTCGCCTGGATGCAGTGAGAGCCTACTAATCCATGACTTCTCAAATTTTAATGTGCACACGAATCACTCGAGGGTCTTCATAAAATGCAGATCCTGATTCAGTAGATGTAGGCTGAAGCCTGAGACTGAATGTCTCATAAGCTTCCAGGTGATACGGACCACATTTTGAATGAAGGGAGCCGGTCTCCCTGCTTTAGAAGTTCAGCGCCGTCGCACCCAACATCCTTGTGCCTCTCCTTGGAAGCCTTGGGCAGCCATTCCTGGCCACGTCAGGATCTACTCCAGCTGTCTTTGGCCAACTATGGTTTCCTCCCACTGCTTCCCTTCATCCACCCTTCATTCTACCAAACCAAATCCCTCACTCTGAATTTATCCATCTCTCATCGTTCAGAACGGGACAGAGACCAACTCAGTCTAGCACCTGGTCGGAGGGGGAAACTGACATGGTCTTCCAACTTTTCTGCTTAAAATCCTTCATAAAAGGATGTGGTAGCCATTTGCAACAACATGGATGGAGCTAGAGGGTATTATGCTAAGCGAAATTAGCCAGTCAGAGAAAGACAAATATCATACGACTTCACTCATATGAAGAATTTAAGATACAAAACAGATGAACATAAGGGAAGGGAAGCAAAAGTAATATAAAAACAAGGAGGGGGACAAAACATAAGAGAGTCTTAAACACAGAGAACAAACAGGGTTGCTGGAGGGGTTGTGGGTGAGGGGATGGGCTAACATGGGCAATGGGTATTAAGGAGGGCACTTGTTGGGATGAGCACTGGGTATTAGACATAGGGGATGAATCACTGGAATCTACTCCTGAAATCATTATTGCACTATCTGCTAACTAACTTGGATATAAACTAAAAAATAAATAAGTAAATTTTTAAAGAATATGGTAAATGTAAATAAACCCCTCACACATTTCAGGCTTACATCTACATTTTTTCATCATACATTTGCAGAAGATGCAATTTCCAGTATGTTGCAAACATTGATTATTTTTAAGTAAAACTACTACGTCACTGTTTTAAATTTATCCAGTGGAATCTAAACACCATAGGAATTTGCTACCCACCAGCATCCATTTTTAAAATGCATGAGCGGGGTGCCTGGGTGGCTTAGTCGGTTAAGCATCCGACTTCAGCTCAGGTCACGATCTCGCGGTCCGTGAGTTCGAGCCCCGTGTCAGGCTCTGGGCTGATGGCTCGGAGCCTGGAGCCGGCTTCCAATTCTGTGTCTCCCTCTCTCTCTGCCCCTCCCCTGTTCATGCTCTGTGTCTCTCTCTCAAAAATAAATAAACATTAAAAAAATTTTTTAAAAAAATGCATGAGCATGTTCTTCACTAATAGTGTTCCTTCTTGAAGGAAAATTTCTTCTTGAAATTTTATTTGTTTTACTTCCCCCGTGGCATTTTATCCTAATGGAATATATCTAATATATTTTTATGCTTAAAACTCTTTTGCTTGTTTCCCTATCCTATTTCTCTGTACCAATTGTATATGAAATTAAAACTTTTTTTAATTTCCTGAAATCGTCAAGCGCGACGTATTAAAGTTTTCTTCTGGTTTGAGTTATTGTTAACAGCTATCAATAGGACACAAATGATCAAAACGACATCAACGTATTGCTAACTCAGATAAGTAATGAACAAGCATAAGTAAAATGATACTAAGAATGGTAACACTGGATGACTTTTTAGAATACTTCTTTTTTTTTTTTATTGACTTACAGCAAACACACCTGTGTGTGAGCAGATCGGAGCACACAGCTTGAGTTGTCAGTGTGTGCACGCTCATAACAGCTATCACTCGGTCCAGAAATGAAATACGGCTGGCACTGGGTTATTTCTCCGGTTTGTTTCCATATCCATGGAAGAATATTATATATCGTAGGAGACAGGGGCCAGCTTGATTACATCTCTGTTTTTCATTCATATAGATGTAAGCCCTGAAAACCCTCATTCACATGAACTGACAGAAATGGAAGTTTTGTTCTAAAGCAGGATCACTCAGTTCTTGATCTGCTTCTGAATTATATGCCAGAAATCACCTAGTGATCTATCGCGAACAATTAGATTTTAATTACTTCTATTAGGCCTTCCTAACAACAACAGCAACAGAAGAATTGGAAACCGTCCAGCTTCCAATAAATGATTCACTACTCATTTTAGAGTGGTTATTTTTTTTTTCCTTAGCTTTCTAGGTGTCCTTTTGCATGGGGGGGGGTGGTTACTGGGGCGATAATAAACCCAGTTAAGGTTTGGGGTGAGGTAAGAAGTTTGTCTTTCTTTTGTAGAGGAAGAGGACTGTTGTGAGAGTGCAGGTATAAAGGTCATCTCGTACCTTCGTCACCGATCAGTTCTAGAAAACAGCTTCTGTGGAAGTTCAAGGATCTAGGAATTGAGTTTTCTCTTAAAACTTTGAGGGGCACCTGACTGGCTCAGTCCGTTGAGCGTCCTACTCTTGATTTCAGCTTAGGTCATGATCCCAGGGTCGTGGGATCAAGACCTATGCCGTGGAGCCTGCTTAAGATACTCTCTCTATCGGGGTGCCTGGGGGGCTCAGTCAGTTAAGGGTCTGACTTTGGCTCAGGTCATGATCTCACAGTTCGTGAGTTCAAGCCCTTCATCAGGCTCTGTGCTGACAGCTCGGAGCCTGGAACCTGTTTCAGATTCTGTGTCTCCTTCTCTCTCTGTTCCTCCCCTGCTTGTGCTCTGTCTCTCTCTCTCTCTCTCTCTCTCTCTCTCTCTCTCTCTCTCTCTCTCTCTCTCTCTCTCCCCCCGCCCCTCCCCCACTTGCACACACTCTTTCTCTCAAATAAAAGTTAAAAAACAAACAAACTTTGATTGCAGTGTAGTGCTTGAAGGTCTTCGTGTCTTGCCAGGGGTTTACATATTCCAGCTAGAAGTCCCCTAAAACATTTTTTTAAAAAGGGCAGGGGGGCACCTGAGTGGCTCAGTCAGTTAAGCATCTGATTTCAGCTCAGGTCATTGACTTCACAGGTCATGAGTC